CAGGAATTGGAGACCAGCCTGGCCAACATGGTGAAACCTTGTCTCCTAAAAATACAAAAATTAGCTGGCCATAGTGGTATATGGGAGACTGAGGCAGGAGAATTGCTTGAACTCAGGAGGTAGAGGCTGCAGTGAGCCAACATCTCAGCACTGCACTCCATCCTGGGTGACAGAGACTGTGTCTCAAAAAAAAAAAAAAAAAAAAAAGTAACCTGGAGAGGAAAGGGAAGAGTTTCAAAGAAAAACTTACTGACTTGATAGATAAAAACAGTGGTGATACTGCCATTCATTTTAGGAAGCCCATGGTTATTTTAGAAAGAAAATTGCTCATCACCCATTTTGTGAGATGTTGGAGTTAAGTTGGTAAACACATTTACACAAAAAGAAATACAAATAGTAAACAAGTATAAGAGAAGTTCATTTTTATTGTTAGATCCCTTTGTAAATTAGTGTTATTTTACACTCGGAAAGAGAATTCATTTAGGCAATGACTAGAAGGAAGTATGGAAAAGTAGCTATGATTGTGGGTTTTTTTGTATGTTTCTTCTAACCCATTTATGCCTGAGGTTGCAATTTTTTGAATTTGAAAAAAATTAGACCTTGGTGATGATCTTGAGCAGTAGGATATAAATAACCCCCACATGCTTAGTGTTCCAATAATGGAACACTAGGCATAAATGGGTTTAATATTACAGGATTTTTTGATTTTGTTTTTGGAGACAGAGTCTCACTCTGTTGCCAGGCGTGGGGGGCAGGGGGTAGTCCAGTGGCGTGATTTCAGCTCACTGCAACCTCCGCCTCCCAGGTTCAAGCAGTTCTCCTGCCTCAGCCTCCCGAGTAGATGGGACTATAGGCGCGTGCCACCACACCCAGCTAATTTTTTGTATTTTAGTGGAGACTGGGTTTCACTATGTTGGCCAGGATGGTCTTGATCTCTTGATCTCGTGATGCACCTGCCTTGGCCTCCCAAAGTGCTGTGATTACAAGTGTGAGCCACCGTGCCCAGTGGTTGGTTGGTTGGTTGGTTGGTTGGTTTTTGAGATGGAGTCTCACTCTGTAGCCTAGTTTGGAGTGCAGTGGTGCAATCTCAGCTCACTGCAGCCTTTGCCTCCCAGGTCCCAGTTCAAGCAATTCTCCTCAGTAGGTGGGATTACAGGCATGCACCACCATGCCCAACTACAACTAATTTTTGTATTTGTAGTAGAGACGGGGTTTTACCATGTTGGCCAGGATGGTCTTGAACTCCTCACCTTGTGATCTACCTGCCTTGGCAGAGTAGCTGGGATTACAGGCACATGCCCCCATGCCCAGCTAATTTTTGTATTTTTACTAGAGGCTGGATTTCACCATGTTGGCCAGACTAGTCTTGAACTACTGACCTCGTGATCTGCCCACCTTAGCCTCCCAAAGTACTGAGCTTACAGGCGTGAGCCACCACGCCTGGCCTTTTTTTTTTGTTTGCTTTTTTGTTTTTGAGACAGAGTCTCGCTCTGTTGCCAGGCTGGAGTGCAGTGGTGGAGTCTCAGCTCACTGCAGCCTCTGCCTCAGCCTCTCGAGTAGCTGGGAGTACAGGTGTGTGCCACTACACCCGGCAATTTTTTTTTTTTTTTTCGAGACGGAGTTTCACTCTCGTTACCCAGGCTGGAGTGCAATGGCGCGTTCTCGGCTCACTGCAACCTCCGCCTCCTGGGTTCAAGCAATTCTCCTGCCTCAGCCTCCTGAGTAGCTGAGATTACAGGCACACGCCACCATGCCCAGCTAATTTTTTGTATTTTTAGTAGAGACGGGGTGTCACCATGTTGACCAGGATGGTCTCGATCTCTCGACCTCGTGATCCACCCGCCTCGGCCTCCCAAAGTGCTGGGATTACAGGCTTGAGCCACCGCGCCCAGCCAATTTTTTTATTTTTTATTTTTAGTAGAGACGGGGTTTCACCATGTTTGCCAGGATGGTCTCGATTTTCTGATCTTGTGATCTGCCCACCTTGGCCTCCCAAAATTCTGGGATTACAGGCATGAGCCACTGTGCCCAGCTGGGTTTATTTTTTTCCCACAGAATTATATTAAGAGAAAGAGACTGGGCACAATGGTTCATGCTCGTAATCCTAGTAGTCTGAGAGGCTGAGCCAGGCAGATCACTTGAGCCTAGGAGTTCAGGACCAGCCTGGGCAAGCTGGCAAAACCTCCTCTCTACAAAAAATACAAAAGTTAGCCAAGCTTGGTGGCATGCAACTGTAGTCTCAGCTGTTCGGGAGGCTGAGGTCAGAGGATCATCTGAACCTGGGGAGGCTGAGCCTATAGTGAGCCAAGATCATGCCACTGCACTCCAGTCTGGATAACAAAGCAAGACCTTGTCTCAAAAAAAAAAAAAAAAGGAATTATATTGGCTGAGTGTGGTGGCTCACACCTGTTATCCCAACACTTTGGGAGGCGGAGGCAGCCAGATTAATTGAGCTCTGAGGTTTAAGACCAGCCTGGGCAACATGGTGAAACCTCATCTCTACAAAAATTAGCTGGGCATGGTGGTGTACACCTGTAGTCCCGGCTACTGCAGGGGCCAAGGTGGAAGGTTCACTTGAGCACAGGAGGTCAAGGCTACAGTGAGCCGTGTCTGCACCACTGTACTCCAGTATGGGCAATAGAGCGAGAGACCCTGTCTCAAAAAAAAAAAAGGAAAGAAAATGAATTAATTGATGTACATCCAGTATAGAGAGGATCAGGTATCCAGATTCCCCCTCCTCCCCACACATGCACTGATAAATACGGAACGGGCTAGAGGGAGTTCCTCTGCAGATCTCCAGGGAGTTTTGTGGAGAAAACCCCTGGTTGTTGTGGATATCCCCAACATTTTGTGGTCGAGAGGGTAAACTGTAGCAATACTCATTCCAAAGACTTCAAAGTGTGGGTATAGAGTGTCCATACTCTGTGGCCCTTATGAAGGTTTATGGAAAACCAGGCTGTAAAGTTTCAGCATTTTCTACGTCTTCAGCTTAACCTGTATGCAATACTTACTAGTGGATGTGTTAAAATGGCTGCTTTAGAACTTACATAAGCTCTGAAGGATTTATCACCAGTTCTTCCCACCAAGAAAATGTTACTATATTGAAAAGCTCAACTGTGGAGGAATTCTTACATAACAATAATTATTTAAAATATACACATTTATCTTTGTGGATGGAGATACAGCAGATGAGTTTTCTAACTAACTGTATTTTCATAATTTTGGCTTATTGGAACAGGTAGAAATTTCAGGCTTTGGGGAAAATCTGAACCTGGTGAGTATTTGTGAATGAGAATCATTATGGAGTTCTCTGTTGGAAACCTGGCTTATATCACCATTTAAAGATTTTATATTATTGGCTGGGCACAGTGGCTCACGCCTGTAATCCCAGCACTTTCGGAGGCCAAGGCAGGCAGATCACTTGAGGTCAGGAGTTCGTGATCAGCCTGGCCAACATGGTGAAACCCTGTCTCTCTGAAAAATACAAAAATTAGCCGGTTGTGGTGGCAGGTACCTGTAATCCCAGCTATTTGGGAGGCTAAGGCAAGAGAATCGCTTGAACCAGGGAGGCAGAGCTGAGATCACACCACTGCACTCCAGCCTGGGTGACAGAGTGAGCCTCCATCTCAAAAAAAAAAAAAAAAAAGATTTTATATTATTTACTTCTTGTTTTGAGATTTTGTAACTTGTGTATTCAATGAGAAAAGTAGTAGTATGGTGAGCTTAGTTGGAAAACAGGGCTAGATATGGAAGCTGTGCTTGAAATCCTATTATGTTAGAGACAGGGTCTCCCTCTCTTGCCCAGGCTGAAATGAAGTGGTATGATCATAGCTCACTGCAGCCTCAAGCTCCCAGGTTCAGGTTATCCTCCTGCCTTGGCCTCCCAAAGTGCTGAGATGACAAGTGTTAGCCACCATACCCAGCTGGATTCTTTTTTCGAGACAGTCTTGCTCTGTCACCAAGGCTGAAGTACACTGGCGTGATCTTAGCTCACTGCAACCTCCAACTCCCAGGCTGTGTGTGTGTGTGTATAGATGTTGCTCTCTACCAGGTTGGTCTGCTGGCTACCACTGCCACCACACCTAGCTAATTTTTTTTTAATTTGGAAAAATAAGATCTCACTATATTGCCGAGGCTTATGTGTAAATCTTTGTTCGGCTCCACGCCTGCATGTTTTGTAGATGCCTGTACTTTTTTTTCCATTGGTCCTTTGGAAATTGTTCAGTTTTTTTTTTTTTTTTTTCCTGTCTTTAAACAACAAAACAAAGCACCTTTTTAATTAAGTTACGGTAAACACATAACATTCAGGAATTGTTTTAAATTTATTTGCTAAATGTTGGCGCCTTATGGATGACATTTGGCCATAGCTATGCAGAGTTGCCAGAACTTGATAATGAGCAGTAATTCATCTTGAAAATCTTCCTGTTTTGCTGTTTAATTCAGTACAGATGCAGGTGTTTTCTTTCTGTGACTTTTTGTGAGCACTTGTATCTGTAAATCACCTCCTATGGAGACGGGTGTTCCTGTGACTGAGAGCCAGCTGTTGGGTGTTTTAGCTAAACAGCTTGCTCCTAGTTAGCTGCTCAGATCCCCCTGAGAGGTGTATTGGTTGCTTCAGGGAATAGAGCTGACCGGGTGAAGGTTCTTACAAGGCCTTTGGTGACCCAGTTGGTTTCAATTTGCTGAGATTCTCCTGCTTTGGCTTTTTCCTATAGGTGCCAGAGTTCATCATCTGCTTCATATTTTTACTAATGACTCATCTTCCTGTGGTATTTTCTTAGACTCGTGACTTAAGAACCTTTGGGTTATGGTTACATAGTTTCTCCTACCACCTGTATGGGGAGGAGAAAACTGGTATTCAAACCCAAGCCTGTTTCCATTTTATTTTCGTTGATTTTTATGGTACATAGAAAACTTACTTTCTGAAAACGGCATTTTAGTGATTCATTGTTTTCTGTGGGAGGAAGCTTATGACCTGCTCTTTTCTTTTTCCTTTCCAGAGGGTATCTGGAAAAATTGCAAAGGAAACATCATTTCTCTAAGAAAATTTTGGGTAACAGAAATTCTGGACAACAGGTAAAGTGTATTTAAACTTTGGTGGTACTGACGAATCATCTGTAATCTTCAGTAGTAAACTGGGAGAGGGAGGAGGACAAGTTAAAAGTTAAGTCTACTTTGTAAAGCTGGGGCTCTATTGGGGATTTTATATACAATTTAGGTGATTTTTACCTGAATCCTGGCTGTAGATCTGGGAATCTCAGAATGAAACTATCCTTTAAAGTGCTGTTTTAAGTGGATTTGCTGTTGATTGGATTTAATGTCCTCAAAGTTCAGTTTAGCAATCTTTTTTTTTTTTTGAGATGGAGTCCCATTCTTGTTGCACAGGCTGGAGTGCGTGCTGCGATCTCAGCTCACTGCAACTTCCACCTCCGGGATTCAAGCAATTCTCCTGCCTCAGCCTCCCAAGTAGCTGGAATTACAGGCATGCGCCACCATGGCCAGCTAATTTTTTGTATTTTTAGTAGAGACAGGCTTTCTCCATGTTGGTCAGGTTGGTCTCGAACTCCCAACCTCAGATGATCCACCTGCCTTGGCCTCCCGAAGTGCTGGGATTACAGGTGTGAGCCACTGCGCCTGGCTAGCAATTATTTTTTAATGTCTTCTGTAAATAAGATACAGAAGTATATTTTGTAGATTCTGTTTTATAGTAAAGAGGTATAATACTTGTTGCAAGACCATTCACTGTGGGCTTCTAAGTAAACCCAGAATCTGCTATGCTGTGCAGCCTAGCTAGGGAATGTCTTCCTAGTTCCCTTCTGTCTTTTGTTTTATTTCTTTTTTTTTTTTTTTTTTTTGAGACGGAGTTTCGCTCTTGTTACCCAGGCTGGAGTGCAATGGTGCGATCTCGGCTCACCGCAACCTCCGCCTCCTGGGCTCAGGCAATTCTCCTGCCTTAGCCTCCTGAGTAGCTGGGATTACAGGCACGCACCACCATGCCCAGCTGATTTTTTTGTATTTTTAGTAGAGACGGGGTTTCACCATGTTGACCAGGATGGTCTCGATCTCTCGACCTTGTGATCCACCCGCCTCGGCCTCCCAAAGTGCTGGGATGCTGGGATTACAGGCTTGAGCCACCGCGCCCGGCCTTTTGTTTTATTTCTTAATGATTGCCAGCAGTTTGTAGGTGAACCATCTTTTTTTTTTTTTTTTTTTTTGAGACAGAGTTTCGCCCTTGTTACCCAGGCTGGAGTGCAATGGCGCAATCTCGGCTCACCGCAACCTCCGCCTCCTGGGCTCAGGCAATTCTCCTGCCTCAGCCTCCTGAGTAGCTGGGATTACAGGCACGTGCCACCATGCCCAGCTAATTTTTTGCACTTTTAGTAGAGACAGGGTTTCACCACGTTGACCAGGATGGTCTCGATCTCTCGACCTCGTGATCCACCCGCCTCGACCTCCCAAAGTGCTGGGATTACAGGCTTGAGCCACCGCGCCCGGCTGAACCATCTTCTTAATTCCTTTTAGCACTTGGTCAAAAATTTAAGTGTTCTAGTAAGTCACCCCTTCACAGTGGAGTCCAGCCTAGGTGTCCCTGTTTTTCTTCTCAGTGGTGGTCTTTCTGTGATTGGGCCAAATAACCACCCTGTGGGTTTTTTTGTTTGTTTGTTTGTTTTTAGACAGAATCTCACTCTGTTGCCCAGGCTGGAGTGCATTGGCACCATCTCAGCTCACTTCAACCTCAGCCTCCCAAATAGCTGAGATTACAGGTGCCCGCCACCAACCATGCCTGACTAATTTATATATATATATATATATATATATTTTTTTTTTTTTTTTTTTTTTTTTTTGAGACGGAGTTTCGTTGTTACCCAGGCTAGAGTGCAGTGGCACCATCTCGGCTCACTGCAACCTCTGCCTCCTGGGTTCAGGCAGTTCTCCTGCCTCAGCCTCCTGAGCAGCTGGGATTACAGGCACACACCACCGTACCTGGCTAATTGTTGTATTTTTGTAGAGATGGAGTTTCACCATGTTCACTAGGCTGATCTTGAACTCCTGACTTCAAGTAATCCACCCACCTCCACCTCCCAAAATCCTGGGATTACAGGTGTGAGCCATCGCACCTGATGGAGATGCTATTTATTCTAACATTTGTTCCACTATGAACCTTAAAGTTAGATTTCAAGTATTCAAAGTAGTAGTTCCTAGAGATATCATAAATGAACAGTTAACTTAAGATTTAATATTTGTTGATTTTCTTTTGGTATTTTTCCACTTTTATCAGGGCATACCAATTCCATCACCATGAGTTGGAGCTTCCTGACTCGCCTGCTAGAGGAGATTCACAACCATTCCACATTTGTGGGGAAGATCTGGCTCACTGTTCTGATTGTCTTCCGGATTGTCCTTACAGCTGTAGGAGGAGAATCCATCTATTACGATGAACAAAGCAAATTTGTGTGCAACACAGAACAGCCGGGCTGTGAGAATGTCTGCTATGATGCATTTGCACCCCTCTCCCATGTACGCTTCTGGGTGTTCCAGATCATCCTGGTGGCAACTCCCTCCGTGATGTACCTGGGCTACGCTATTCACAAGATTGCCAAAATGGAGCATGGTGAAGCAGACAAGAAGGCAGCTAGGAGCAAGCCCTATGCCATGCGTTGGAAACAACACCGGGCTCTGGAAGAAACGGAGGAGGACAACGAAGAGGATCCTATGATGTATCCAGAGATGGAGTTAGAAAGTGATAAGGAAAATAAAGAGCAGAGCCAACCCAAACCCAAGCATGATGGCCGACGACGGATTCGGGAAGATGGGCTCATGAAAATCTATGTGCTGCAGTTGCTGGCAAGGACCGTGTTTGAGGTGGGTTTTCTGATAGGGCAGTATTTTCTGTATGGCTTCCAAGTCCACCCATTTTATGTGTGCAGCAGACTTCCTTGCCCTCATAAGATCGACTGCTTTATTTCTAGACCCACTGAAAAGACCATCTTCCTTCTGATAATGTATGGTGTTACAGGCCTTTGCCTCTTGCTTAACATTTGGGAGATGCTTCACTTAGGGTTTGGGACCATTCGAGACTCACTAAACAGTAAAAGGAGAGAACTTGAGGATCCGGGTGCTTATAACTATCCTTTCACTTGGAATACACCATCTGCTCCCCCTGGCTATAACATTGCTGTCAAACCAGATCAAATCCAGTACACCGAACTGTCCAATGCTAAGATCGCCTACAAGCAAAACAAGGCCAACACAGCCCAGGAACAGCAGTATGGCAGCCATGAGGAGAACCTCCCAGCTGACCTGGAGGCTCTGCAGCGGGAGATCAGGATGGCTCAGGAACGCTTGGACCTGGCAATTCAGGCCTACAGTCACCAAAACAATCCTCATGGTCCCCGGGAGAAGAAGGCCAAAGTGGGGTCCAAAGCTGGGTCCAACAAAAGCACTGCCAGTAGCAAATCAGGGGATGGGAAGACCTCCGTCTGGATTTAATCCTGGCGGGCTTAAAACCTGTGCTTTTCATAGTTTATGGTAAGCAGCAGCTCACTGAATAATGACTTCCATTGAGTAAACATTTGGCTCTGGTTATCTTCAGGGATGCTGTTGGCTTATGATCCAAGCTCAGGGGACTCCAAAGGCGGGGCTGAGCTGAGGGGGAGAAAGGGAAACACAGTGTTCCCGGGCACATGTTCTCAGCAATAATACAGTTGCAGAACTTTACATTGGTGTCTTCCAGATCTGGAGAGGAACAGACATATTTAAATCATTCTTGTTGAACAGTTTTTCTATGTACAGTATTATGGTACTTTTTTTCAGTATGAAAACTTTTTTTGTATTTGTATATTGAACTGGTGTAGTTATACTTTTATATTAAAGGGGAAAAGGTCCTCATAAGTAATGCCTATTAGGCTAGTGTTACTGCTTTGTTCAGCAAATTCTACCCTGGCTATAGAGTTTTTAATAGATGCTACACCTAATAAAAGTGCCTCTCATATTGCAGGAAAGATTTCAGATGTATAAAGAGACTGAAGAGGAGATAGCAGTTTAATTTAGTCTTAGAAAGTAAGTTCACAGTAGAAAGGAGGTTGACATCTTTCTTTTACATGAGAAATTTTGAATCTCATTTATGTGACCAGAGTTGTGGCCAATTTTTGAAACCCTATTCTTATTTTCCAAGGAAATAAATGATTGACTGTAGGATTCCTTTAAATATCAAGCATCACCAGTATATGCTTTGATGGTGTGTGTATATAACTTAAAGTTCTTTCAAAAGCCTGATACAGAAACATGTCCCCAGTTTGGTAGCAATGTGGAAAACCTGGCTAGAGGTGATATGGAGCTATCTCTCAGAAAGGAAACCATGCCTGGAAAATGGGCCCTAATAGGATGCTTAGTTGTGAACCTGTTGGATTTGCCTTAAGCCTCTATCCAGAAACCTGCCTGCCTCCCTCTGGTTAAGAAGCCAGTGGTGGATATTTTCTTTGTTTGTTAACATTAGAAATGCAAAAATTCCCTTTTCGACCAAGAATACTCAGAGCTACTTGTATTGGAAATGGCAGAAGGCCTAAATCCAAATTCCTTATTTTTTATAATTTAACCATAGAACTTTTGTGATTAAACATCTTCTGCTAGTGGAGGTTTATGCCTGAAAGGTCATGAGGTTCTGTCTGTAAATAGACCCAAAGAGAAGTGCACTATTTATTCCTTGTAGGCATAATGTGTTTGTCACTGACAAGCATTAATGTTCACCCACTGGTCTTTTACTGCCATTTTCAACCTTATGTTAGAGAACTTTGCCTTCTCTTTATGTTTGCATTGTCTTAAATTTTGTGAGCTTCTGACAAAAAGCTTGGTAAAGGTTTAAAGGGGCCTTTGTTCCACCAGGGAGCATTTTATTTGGGGGTCTCACTCTTTTCAAACGAAAGCTATTGTAAGCCACCTCTGACTTGGAAATTCTGAAAGTATTAATAGTTTTTATATCTTGATTGTAAAATGCCAGTTCTCCGTTATTTAGGTGAATCGTAGAACAACACCCTTTGTGCAGCGTTTTTCTTTGTTTCTCCATTGCATTCCTTCCCCCACCAAAAAAAGAAACGTAAGGAAATTTTTTTTGAGACAGGGTCTCCCTCTGTCACCCAGGCTGGAATGCAGCAGCATGATCTCAGCTCATTGCAGCCTCTGTCTCCCAGGCTCAAGTGATCATTCCACCTCAGCCTCCCGATTAGCTGGGACTACAGACATGTGCCACCATACTCGGCTAATTCTTTTCTTAAAAAAAAAAAAATTTGTAGAGATGAGGTCTCACTATGTTGCCCAGGCTGGTCTAACTTTTGGGTTCAGTGATCCTCCTGCCTCAGCCTTCCAAAGTGTTAGTATTGCAGGCATGAGCCGCTATGCCCAGCTTACAAAATTTAACCTTATCTTTTAGCCATTCATTTATTTGCTTGGAAGTAAAAAAATTCAAATTTTAGCTTAGAGAAGCGCCTCAGGAACTCTAAACATCTTAAGCAAAAATTAAACTCAGGTGAGACTGAAGGAGAAATTTTAGAAAGTAATACACATGGATATTCATCATGGATAATTAATAGACATACACAGTTTCCTTCAAATCAAACATTTAATAAGAAAATTTTTATAATTCCAAGAAAACAGGCAAAATTTTGAACACAGAAGCCTAGCTAAGATAAAGAACTACCAGTTAATTCTTAGGTCACTGGAGCCTCAGGCGGGTTTTTAATAGAAGGACAAAAAGTCTGCATACATTCACGTTATCTATTGAGAGCCTGAGGGAGAAGAGAGTGGCTTTGCCAGTGGAAAGGTTGGGGATTTGAGAATGATACACAGGGAAGAACTCAAGCAGAAAGGCCAGGAAGAAACAGGCCAAAGACATTTGGCGCCAGAAGCATCCACTTAGTTTCTATGAAGAGTGCCCCTGGTGTTTCATCTTTGCTTATTCTGATGAGAATGTTATCTTTTTGTGTCTGGATAACTCGTCAACTTCTTAAAGTACACATAAGATATTCTGTCACCTCCCCACATGCACACACTTTTAAAATCTATTTTTATTCTCTTGCTGTGTAATTATGTCAAGAATTTTCCAGCTCTGTCTTCTTAGTACATGTCTTCCTGCCTTTGAAGCATATTAGTTTGTCAAAGTCATTTTCCCCTAATGACATATTGTGGACTTACATTAAGAAAATGGGCCGGGCGGCCGGGCGCGGTGGCTCAAGCCTGTAATCCCAGCACTTTGGGAGGCCGAGGCGGGTGGATCACAAGGTCGAGAGATCGAGACCAACCTGGTCAACATGGTGAAATCCCGTCTCTACTAAAAATACAAAAAAAAATTAGCTGGGCATGGTGGCGCGTGGCTATAATTCCAGCTACTCAGGAGGCTGAGGCAGGAGAATTGACTGAACCCAGGAGGCAGAGGTTGCGGTGAGCCAAGATCGCGCCATTGCACTCCAGCCTGGGTAACAAGAGCGAAACTCCGTCTCAAAAAAAAAAAAAAGAAAAGAAAAGAAAATGGGCCGGGCACAGTAATCCCAGCACTTTGGGAGGCCTAGGCGGGTGGATTATCTGAGGCCAGGAGTTCAAAACTAGCCTGGTCAACATGGTAAAACCCCATCTCTACTAAAAACACAAAAATTAGCTGGGCATGGTAGGCGAATGCCTGTAATCTCAGCTACTCAGGAGGCTGAGGCAGGAGAATCACTTGAATCCAGAAGACAGAGGTTGCAGTGAGCCAAGATTGTGCCGTTGCCCTCCAGCCTGGACGGCAGAGTGAGACTGTCTCAAAAAAAAAAAAGAAAAAGAAAATGACCCTATTGATGTCTAGCTAACGCATTAGTGGGATCTGCATTGGATCTGTAAGGATATTGTTCTGGAACATGTGGGTGGGTTTTGCATAAAAAGCCTGGCCAACATTTGGTTTCCCCCAGTCAGCATCATATTGTTTTGAATTGCCATGTAAGACGTGCTCCATCATGACACTCACTTCTCCTCCAATCAGAATTCGAGTGCTTAGTTCTCACCTGCTAGAATCAGGAGACAATCAACATGCTTATGTTTCTTAACACACTTGAGTTTATACAGATGTGGTGTGTCCTTTGCTCTTCTTAAAACCTGTTATTCAGAAGAGATTTGTAAAAGAAATAGGTTTTTGCTTTTTATTTTTTTTTTCTTAATTCAAATTTGGGAAAATTAGGTAACATTTTCCCCTAAAGAAATGTTAATGTTTATTTTGTGGCTTTGTTTTTGCTTATGATTTAGTTTTGCCTGTTTCTATATTTGTTCATCTAAAGCCACAAGTATGTTACATCATTTGAAGTCAGTTTTCCTGGGGCGATTTTCCTTGACTAATGTCTGTAGAATTTATTCTTGACAAAAATGAACTTTGTGGCCAACCTCAGTGGCTCACACCTGTAATCCCAGCACTTTGGGAGGCTGAGGCAGATAGATCACGAGGTCAGGAGTTCGAGACCAGCCTCGCCAACATGGTGAAACCCTGTCTCTACTGAAAATACAAAAATTAGCTGGGCATGGTGGCTTGTGCCTGTAATCCCAGCTACTCAGGAGGCTGAGGCAGGAGAATTGCTTGAACTGGGACCCAGGAAGTGGAGGTTGCAGTGAGCCAGGATTGTGCCACTGCACTCCAGCCTGGGCTACAGAGTGAGACTCTGTCTCAAAAAGAAAAAAAGAGGCCGGGCGCGGTGGCTCAAGCATGTAATCCCAGCACTTTGGGAGGCCGAGGTGGGTGGATCACGAGGTCGAGAGATCTAGACCATCCTGGTCAACATGGTGAAACCCTGTCTCTACTAAAAATACAAAAAATTAGCTGGGCGTGGTGGTGTGTGCCTGCAATCCCAGCTACTTAGGAGGCTGAGGCAGGAGGATTGCCTGAACCCAGGAGGCGGAGGTTGCGGTGAGCCGAGATCGCGCCATTGCACTCCAGCCTGGGTAACGAGCGAAACTCCGTCTCAAAAAAAAAAAAAAAAAAAAAAAAGGAAAAAAAGAAGTTTACTATCCAGAATGATTCTCACAGTTTAGGACTTCCACATACGTGTTTTTTTAGGAAGGACATCTGTATTTTTAAAGGGGGGAAAAAGTCAGTATTAGGAACTTCATTAACTCATTCATTACATGAAATTGGGCAGATCGCTTTACTTTTCCAAGTTTCAGGAGCCACATACCTCTCAGAAGTGTTAGGAAGTGGTTAGAAAGGTGTTCAGGGACCAACCATTATTATTGGTCACTTGTTTAAACTTGGAGCTTAAAAGTTGGACTGTGATGATAGTGTATACTTTGGTGCTCTTTATCACAGACATCAGTGATAGTCTGAAACAGTCTTTAAGCAGTTTATACCAAGAATGGACTTACATGTTATCAGTCACACCCATGATTTACTCATTCAGCTCTTTTTTTTTTTAAAGACGGGGTTTCACCATGTGGATCAGGCTGGTCTTGAACTCCCGACCTCAGGTGATCCTCCTGCCTTGGCCTCCAAGGTACTTGGATTACAGGCATGAGCCACCATGCCCGGCCTACTCATTCAGCTTCTATAAGTCCATGCTTTATGCTTTCTGTTTCATTTAAGAGACAGTCCACTTCTAAAAATAACATCTGTAGTTGATGATATCGTTTTGGCCGGCCGGCTTTCTGTAAAAGGCAAGCATGTTACACATGAACGGTTACACATGCACGGTTTCCTTCAGATTCAGTGCTTAATAAGATACTTCAAGAAACACCTTTTTAAAAAGCAAAGGTTTTGGCTGGGCACAGTGGCTCATGCCTGTAAACCCAGAACTTTGGGATGCTGAGGCGGGTGGGTCACAAGGTTAGGGGTTCAAGACAACCCTGACCAACATGGTGAAACCCCCCTCGCTACTGAAAATACAAAAATTAACCAGGTGTGATGATGGGTGCCCATAATCCTGACTACTCAGGAGGCTGAGGCCGAAGAATCACTTGAACCCAGGAGGTGGAGGTTGCAGTAAGCCAAGATTGTGCCACTGCACTCCAGCCCAGGCGATAGGGTGAGACGCCTGTCTCCAAAAAAAAAAAAAAGAAAAATCTTCTGTGACTGTGAAGAAAATACCTGAAGTCAATCATAGATAAACAGTTGCTCATTATTTTGATTGGGATGTTTCAGATTTTAGATTAATCTTTATAAAATTATGCAGTCTCATAAACAGTCTCTCTACTTGAAAATAAAGTCCCTGCATGCAGTTTGGAAACAAAATTTAAACTTGCCTGTGTATAATTAATATGTAATAATTGACAGTCACCATCAAATGTTGGGACCATTGAATTGCATACTTGTACTCTCATTCTGGCCACATCATGAAGAGTTTAAAGATTTTTATTAAAAAAAATTTTTAATACTTAAAAATTTTATTTTCAAAAAGTAATATAGGTAACAAAATAACACAGTAGCTCAAGCCTGTAATCCCAGCACTTTGGGAGACCGAGGCAGGTGGATCACCTGAGGTCACAAGTTTTGAGGCAAGCCTGGCCAACATGGAGAAACCCCATCCCTACTAAAAATTCAAAATTAGCTGGGCATGGTGGCATGTGCCTATAACCCCAGCTACTTGGGAGGCTAAGGCAGGAGAATCGCTTTAACCCAGGAGGTGGAGGTTGCAGTGAGTCGAGATTGCACCATTGCACTCAAGCCTGGGCAACAAGAGCAAAACTCCATCTAAAAAAAAAAAAAGATTTTTATTTGCTGTTGTCCCTATGCAATTCTGTTGATGTTTGATTTTGTTTTTTGGGGTTTGCTTTGTTTTGAGACAGGGTCTGTTGCCCAGGCTGGAGTGCAGTGGCACAATCTCAGCTCACTACAGCCTGGACCTCCTGGGATCAAGCAGTTCTCCACTCCAGCCTCCCAAATAGCTGGGCTGCAAGTGCTCACCACCATACCTGGCTAAGTTGTGTATTTTCTGTAGAGACAGGGATTTCACTATGTTGCCCAGACTGGTCTCAGACTCATGGGCCCAAGCAATCCTCCTGTCATAAGCTCCTAAAGTGCTGGGATTACAGGCTTAAGCCGCTATACCCAGCTGGTTTTTAGTAATCACATTAAGTGGGTTTG